CTGTTTGTCACACAATCATTTACACCACTTCTAGTAGAGCCCAACAGAATCCTTAAGATAGATTAAGTTTTGTTCCAGTTTTAGTTTTACTTTCCTAACTGAGACAAAAATACTGCCTGGTGATTTTGGGTGAAAAAATTCAAGTTCAAAAATAGTTGAAAATCCTTTAAACAATATTATTTTCAGTGTTAGCTTTATTGCAGCTCAATCTGATTAAAATCATCTGTTACATGGCTCTGCCTGAACATCTGAATGTGCCGCAGTCAGGGTCACGTTCAAGTGACCTCTAGATGAACCAATCAGAGGCGCGCTGGCAAAAGTTTGCCAGAGGATCGGAATATCATGGTTGATAGATAAATAGCGAGGGGGATCGAACAGATTAGTTTTCCAAAACAAATATGGCGGCGGGAACTGACGTTTCTACGACGCCAAGGAAAATGTACCCATTGGGTAATAATTGTGTAGGCAACACTGCCATAGTCTTTCTTCTCTAATAAAGCTTCGAATATCTTTATCTGTTCGGGTTTCATACGATCAATCTCAAATAACTTCAGAACTTTCGCATCATTCTCATCAATGTCCGCCATATTTGTTACAACTCCGAAAGCCCTTTTGAAAGAGGGTCTCTGATTGGTCAAATTTAATAAGTATTTATAAATATAAAGGTCACCTGAACGTGATCCTGACCGTGGCACTCTCAGATGTTCAGGCGTAGTACGAAGTTAACGAAGCCATGTAACATATGATTTTAATCAGATTGATTGCATCTTTGCTACACCCTGGTGTTAGCACACAAAGAAAAAGAAGGCAAGGAGATCTATAGCTACAAGAAATGGAATGCATACCTACCTTCATTTCATAAAACCTCAGGAGCAAGTCCCAGGCATGCATCTGTTTAGTTACGGCTGCTGATCTGTTTGGGATGCAGCCAAATGGTACTACGCTAGTACTTTGTCCAATCTATGTAAACAATCACAACATTATTATGATCGTACAGCATATACAATAAAATCCCAGCCTCTAGGATGACCTAAAGTGCCTGTCTCAGGATACACATTAAGGTACTATAAAATAAGTTAAAAAAACATGGAATTAAATCATGTAATAAGCATAAAGAGTATTAAGGTATTGTAAAGTGTGAAAACATTCACGCTCAACAAACTACAGAAAATTGTGATACATAGTGAATCAGTGTTGTTCTTCTTAAACTACTTTTCTTGTAACTCTCTGATTAATGAGAAAGGGTGAAAATTAAACATTCAACAATGAAATATGGTACTTAGCTACACATTTAGGCAAAGCATTTTCAAAATATGGAAAAGGTACTTTCTGAGAAATTAGAAATTGAGCATGAACACAGAATTTGAGATAGGAAATGATTATTTTTAAACATGTCCAGGTCTTATCAGCAGCATTTCCTCATGTATACCATACACAAGATGACAGGGCCCTTTTCTTTTAAACGGTTGAACCGGTTGGACCTAGTAATTTGATGCTGCTTTCAGGAGGGTCTAGACAAAGCCTTGCAAGGCCTGCATAAACAGTTGCAGATTTTGCAGGTCTGCCAGGATATATACCTGAAATTGTTACATTAAAAAACGGACAAACCGGTTGTTCCGCATAAACGAACAGGCTCCAAGACACCTACCTCCATGAGTCCATGCTGCATGAGGTCGCGGATGGCCATGGACAGATCTTTTCTCACCACCTGGGTTAGAGCTGGGCTGCTCTGCTCCTGGCTCTACAGTAATAAGGAACATGTTCAATGTGACCATTCCTACTCTTATCTACAAGTCAGATGTGAACGGTTCAGCTTTTGGCTGCTACAGATGCTGCATCTCTCATCCTGTCCAGGTAAATCTTGACCTCTCATACACAACTGTCCTTTCAACTCTTAGCCTCCTACAATCCTATCAACTCTTAGCCTCCTACAATCCTATCAACTCTTAGCCTCCTACAATCCTATCAACTCTTAGCCTCCTACAATCCTATCAACTCTTAGTCTCCTACAATCCTATCAACTCTTAGCCTCCTACAATCACTGAAATGCTTATATTTTCAGAGCCAATAAAGGTGACACCTTCCTCTTCTATCTTCCACAAAAATACATGTGACTTTTCTTCTATATTTAATGCAAATAATGTAAGGAGTTGTACCACTTGTCTTAGCCTGTGAAAGTGACCATCTCTTCTCTCTTCCCCAAAAGACTTACCTGCTTCCCCATCATCTCCCTCTAGCCCATTCTAACCTTCTCCCTCAAAATATTTTTTTTAGAGCTATTCCTGTAAACTTTTGAAGGTAACCCTCTCCCACTTTTACACTGACCAATCTTTTTGAAAATCTACACAGGTGACTAACCTCCTCTCACCCTGTAAGAGGGATCCCCCGAAAACTCATTCCTGATCAACCTCCTTCCAGACAGAAAGGGGATCCCAACTTACAGCTGTCCCACCTTCTCCCAGCCGATGTCCCCACGACGCAGCTATTGTTTACTTACCTCCTCGGAGTCGCTACCATATTCATCCTGATTCTCCTGCCTCAAATCCTTTTCATCTTGCTGCTCCTTAGCCAGTTCTGCAACTTTTGCAACAGCAACTTCAAGCCGGGCCCTCAAATCACTGCAATTATAAAAATATAACTTTGTTAATATCAGCATTCTTTAATAACTTCTAGTTTCCAATTACTGGTAAAATGTTTTGCTTGTCCTATTATACCTTACAGCTGCTTTATGTTAGTACTGACCGATTCATTATACCTACCCCCAGTGGTTACCCTTGGTTATCACTGACTGATTCATTATACCTACCCCCAGTGGTTACCCTTGGTTATCACTGACTGATTCATTATACCTACCTACCCCCAGTGATTACCCTTGGTTATCACTGACCGATTCATTATACCTACCCCCAGTGGTTCCCCTTGGTTATCACTGACTGATTCATTATACCTACCCCCAGAGGTTACCCTTGGTTATCATTGACTGATTTATTATATCTACCCCCAGTGGTTACCCTTGGTTATCACCGACTGATTCATTATACCTACCCCCAGTGGTTTCCCTTGGTTATCTCTGACTGATTTATTATACCTACCCCCAGTGGTTGCCCTTGGTTATCACTGACTGATTCATTATACCAACCTACCCCCAGTGATTACCCTTGGTTATCACTGACCGATTCATTATACCTTCCCCCAGTGGTTTCCCTTGGTTATCACTGACTAATTCATTATATCTGCCCCCAGTGGTTACCCTTGGTTATCACCGATTGAATCATTATACCTACCTACGCCCAGTGGTTACCCTTGGTTATCATTGACTGATTTATTATACCTACCCCCAGTGGGTACCCTTGGTTATTATTGACTGATTTATTATACCTGCCCCCAGTGGTTACCCTTGGTTACCACTGACTGATTCATTATACCTACCCCCAGTCGTTACCCTTGGTTATCACTGACTGATTCATTATATCTACCCCCAGTGGTTACCCTTGGTTATCACCGATTGATTCATTATCCCTACCTACCCCCAGTGGTTACCCTTGGTTATCACCGATTGATTCATTATCCCTACCTACCCCCAGTGGTTACCCTTGGTTATCAATGACCGATTCATTATACCTACCCCCAGTGGTTGCCCTTGGTTATCACTGACTGATTTATTATACCTACCCACAGTGGTTACCCTTGGTTATCACTGACTGATTCATTATTCCTACCCCCAGTGGTTACCCTTGTTTATCACTGACTGATTCATTATACCTACCTCCCCCCAGTGATTACCCTTGGTTATCACTGACCGATTGATTATACCTACCCCCAGTGGTTACCCTTGGTTATCAATGACCGATTCATTATACCTACCCCCAGTGGTTCCCCTTGGTTATCACTGACCGATTCATTATACCTTCCCCCAGTGGTTTCCCTTGGTTATCACTGACTGATTCATTATACCTACACCCAGTGGTTATCCTTGGTTATCACTGACCGATTCATTATACTTGCCCCCAGTGGTTACCCTTGGTTATCACTGACTCATTCATTATACCTACCCCCAGTGGTTACCCTTTGTTATCACTGACTGATTCATTATACCTACCCCCAGGGGTTACCCTTGGTTATCACTGACTGATTCATTATTCCTACCCCCAGTGGTTACCCTTGTTTATCACTGACTGATTCATTATACCTACCTCCCCCCAGTGATTACCCTTGGTTATCACTGACCGATTCATTATACCTACCCCAAGTGGTTACCCTTGGTTATCACTGACCGATTCATTATCCCTACCCCCAGTGGTTACCCTTGGTTATCACCGACTGATTTATTATACCTACCCCCAGTGGTTACACTTGGTTATCACTGACTGATTCATTATACCTATCCCCAGTGGTTACCCTTGGTTATCACTGACTCATTCATTATACCTACCCCCAGTGGTTACCCTTTGTTATCACTGACCGATTCATTATACCTACCCCCAGAGGTTACCCTTGGTTATCATTGACTGATTTATTATACCTACCCCCAGTGGTTGCCCTTGGTTATCACTGACCGATTCATTATACCTTCCCCCAGTGGTTTCCCTTGGTTATCACTGACTGATTCATTATACCTATTCCCAGTGGTTACCCGTGGTTATCACTGACTGATTCATTATACCTACCTACCCCCAGTGGTTACCCTTGGTTATCAATGACCGATTCATTATACCTACCCCCAGTGGTTACACTTGGTTATCACTGACTGATTCATTATACCTATCCCCAGTGGTTACCCTTGGTTATCACTGACTAATTGATTATATCTACCCCCAGTGGTTACCCTTGGTTATCTCCGATTGATTCATTATACCTACCTACCCCCAGTGGTTACCCTTGGTTATCAATGACCGATTCATTATACCTACCCCCAGTGGTTGCCCTTGGTTATCACTGACTGATTCATTATACCTCCCCCCAGTCGTTACCCTTGGTTATCACTGACCGATTCATTATACCTTCCCCCAGTGGTTTCCCTTGGTTATCACTGACTGATTCATTATACCTATTCCCAGTGGTTACCCGTGGTTATCACTGACTGATTCATTATACCTACCTCCCCCCAGTGATTACCCTTGGTTATCACTGACTGATTCATTATACCTATTCCCAGTGGTTACCCGTGGTTATCACTGACTGATTCATTATACCTACCTCCCCCCAGTGATTACCCTTGGTTATCACTGACGGATTCATTATACCTTCCCCCAGTGGTTACCCTTGGTTATCGCTGACCGATTCATTATACCTACCCCCAGTGGTTGCCCTTGGTTATCACTGACCGATTCATTATACCTTCCCCCAGTGGTTTCCCTTGGTTATCACTGACTAATTCATTATATCTGCCCCCAGTGGTTACCCTTGGTTATCACCGATTGAATCATTATACCTACCTACGCCCAGTGGTTACCCTTGGTTATCATTGACTGATTTATTATACCTACCCCCAGTGGTTACACTTGGTTATCACTGACTGATTCATTATACCTCCCTACCCCCAGTGATTACCCTTGGTTATCACTGACCGATTGATTATACCTACCCCCAGTGGTTACCCTTGGTTATCAATGACCGATTCATTATACCTACCCCCAGTGGTTACCCTTGGTGGTCTTTTTTAGGACATTCCTCTGAAAGTCTCGACTGCCACAGCCAAACTGACTTAACAGGAACATTTGTAGCACTGTTATCGTTCTCCTCATAAATGCTGTTGTCTCACGAATGTTCTGTAATTCAAATAAAGTCGTTCAGATTACAGAAACAGGCAAAAGTCATCCTTTTTTGTTCTGTTGTTCTTGAATAGAAATTGTTTGAAATACTTCTGTGAAATTTAAATATTGGTGAGGCCATTTATTTGGATTAACTTCATAGCTCTCCACTTCACCAAAATACAATGCAAATACATGTACTGTGATTCCAAGTTTTAAACATTTCGTGAAGGCAATTTATTTGAAGAAAGGTAATGGTCTTCTCCCAAGAAGGCATAAATCATTAATATAGGTCCCAGGGTTCATAAGAAGAAGCTTTTAAGTTATTTCGACACATCGTACCATTGACCTTGCACATGGGTGTCAATTATTTACATAAAGTCAACTCGATGTCTCCTTAACAAAGCAAGCTCTATGATAGACCTTTGGTTCTTTAGAAGTTGTGTCAAGAATAAAGTTGACACTGGACAAATGGTGTGTTTCATCATAATCTCACAGACGCTTTGTGCCAGTACAGCTACAAACTGTCGTTGATTCGGCTACGCTGTAATTAAGCGTATGTACAATAGTTGTTATGTATGTACCAAAATGACTCGTCATTTCGGTACATATATAACAACTATTGTACATACGCTTACAGCGTAGTCGAATCGATATCGATTTTGTGGACAATGCGTACACATTTTACACCTTTGTGTGCATTCGCTTCACTGGTCATTTGTCTGATGGAGGTGACAGTGTACATTTCGTACTAGTCATCGAAACGTCACATAGAAAATCTTATTGATTGTTACCAACCTGAAGAAAATGTTTAGAAATACATATTGCTATTATGGGACAGTCAAACGGTAAGGTAATTTAAGGTTAGATACTGTATACTGTATACCGTGTTCCCCTGGTCAAACTTTCACCCTTCATCAGAATAATCCACATTCACCAAGTGTTAATTTCGCCCTTCACATTTGATAACTAGGCGTAATACGTTGTTAACCAATGTTGGCTGTAATTATCAATTTACCCTCATAACCGCGGCGAAAAAAAGTCTAATTTAACTTGCAGCAAAAATTTCCCTTTATACAGTAGACAAATGAATAAAACAATAAGCCCAGTGAGACCACTGAAGTAGTGTGTACCTTGGCTCTGGCCTTGCCGTCCTTGAGAGAGGGTCGTCCACTATGTGGAGCCTTACAGCAATCCTTTCCATGGTCAGATCCTTCATCACCAAACTGTGACAACACAACAGGATCAATTAAATGAACATCAAATTGTGGAAATCTGGTAGATTGCTGGTTCTTTATACTGACAACCTTCTTCTGTGATACACCCTTGCTACTCTTACAGACCGATGAGATGAATTTGTAGCACAGAAACAATCTAAGATGTATAACAAGGAGATAAGTATGATAACATAAACAATATGATTAACAATGTGACATTGTGTCGTTTGATACTCAAACATGTTTCTGATTGTACTTTTGGTAACCTTTTTTTCAAATTATCCCATGATAATATTTTCTTAAATAACATGTCTTTCCCCTAAAATTGTCATCCTATCCTACAACAAAACTCCACCAAACAACATGTTTTCCCCTTGAAAACATCACTATCTTAAAACAAAACAATGTGCCCTCATAACAACAACAAACCCCTAGAACTTAAGTTTCTCTGTGCCAATAGGCGCATAAGGCTTCCAGTCAAGCAAACAGGCCATTATTGCTGAGGGGATTGTAATAAACATACTAGATGTTAAGTACCCCACTTTTATAAACTTGTAGCTATATGATCATTCTGTGGCCTCACGAGGATTTTATTATACATTCACTCTGAAATTTTTCAAACAGTTATAAATGACATCAACTTTAAAACTTACCTACCTTTTATTATAACATCCCAACAAAACCCACACTAACTGACATGGTTACTTACCTACCTTTTATTATAACATCCCAACAAAACCCACACTAACTGACATGGTTACTTACCTACCTTTTATTATAACATCCCAACAAAACCCACACTAACTGACATGGTTACTTACCTACCTTTTATTATAACATCCCAACAAAACCCACACTAACTGACATGGTTACTTACCTACCTTTTATTATAACATCCCAACAAAACCCACACTAACTGACATGGTTACTTACCTACCTTTTATTATAACATCCCAACAAAACCCACACTAACTGACATGGTTACTTACCTACCTTTTATTATAACATCCCAACAAAACCCACACTAACTGACATGGTTACTTACCTACCTTTTATTATAACATCCGAACAAAACCCACACTAACTGACATGGTTACTTACCTACCTTTTATTATATAACATCCGAACAAAACCCACACTAACTGACATGGTTACTTACCTACCTTTTATTATATAACATCCGAACAAAACCCACACTAACTGACATGGTTACTTACCTACCTTTTATTATATAACATCCGAACAAAACCCACACTAACTGACATGGTTACTTACCTACCTTTTATTATATAACATCCGAACAAAACCCACACTAACTGACATGGTTACTTACCTACCTTTTATTATAACATCCGAACAAAACCCACACTAACTGACATGGTTACTTAAACTAGAACTGTCCTGGGGGGGGGGGACTAAAAATAGTCCCGTTGTATAGCCTGTTTGTCAACAGGAGATAAGAATCATCAGCTGGTCATCAGTTAGTCGTTATTTACGTTTGAGAACATATAACAAACGTAACATCAATTCTAGAAAGAACAGCCAGATTACAGAAGTATTGTGTTCTTGTTGAATGTCAGTATTCACTGTAATGGCAGAAGTTAGTGAAGGAAAGTTGTGACTCCATGTGATTGAGTTTAATAAGCACTTCAAAAGATGATATGGTATTTATATGTAGAAATAATATATAACCCAGCTTTGAAGATATGTGTAGAGTTGAAGAGATGTAAGCTACCCTTCTTAGTCAAAATGTTTGAAGGGGGCATGCATGTTTGTGGCCTGAAATCCAAGTCAACCACTTGTAGGGTTGTAATTTCTCATGATATATTATTTGGTTTGTCCACCATATGTTATGTAATTTGGTGACAATTTCAAAATCCTCAGCAGAAATTGAGAACTGCCCGACACACTGCAGGGATATTCCTGGAGGGGGCCATGGGGCCATTGACCCCTCTATTTTTCAATTTTCCCTGCACTGTGTAACTATGTAATGTATACATCAAACATGATGTAAGTGATTGTATCATGTCATGGGATTAGACAATGTTTCTGTAACACACTTAACATAATACGCCCGTCACACGTTTAACATAATACGCCCGTCACACGTTTAACATAATACGCCCGTCACACGTTTAACATAATAAGTCATCACATGTTTAACATAATACATCGTCACACGTTTAACATAATACACCCGTCACACGTTTAACATAATATGTCGTCACACGTTTAACATAATACGTCGTCACACGTTTAACATAATAAGTCATCACATGTTTAACATAATCCATCGTCACCCGTTTAACATAATACCCCCGTCACACGTTTAACATAATATGTCGTCACACGTTTAACATAATATGTCGTCACACGTTTAACATAATCCGTCGTCACACGTTTAACATAATATGTCGTCACACGTTTAACATAATAAGTCATCACATGTTTAACATGATACATCGTCACACGTTTAACATAATACACCCGTCACACGTTTAATATAATATGTCGTCACACGTTTAACATAATACGTCATCACACGTTTAACATAATACGTCGTCACACGTTTAACATAACACGTCGTCACACGTTTAACATAATACGTCGCCACACGTTTAACATAATACACCGGTCACACGTTTAACATCATACGTCGTCACACGTTGAATGAGCAGTTGTTTGTATCGTTGAAATAAATAAAATATTTGTGAGTTATTGATGTTAAATGAGAAATAATTCAACATACCTGGTAGATCAATGAGTACAATAAAACATCTTGGAATGCATTTAGTATTGCATTAATGAAACCAAGGGGAATAAGTCTATTAATTATTGACAGAACATTGTGATTACACTAACTCCACTGATTCAGGGGGCATAACTCTGTAATTAACAGTCGGATAATGTTGTTTATCCAACTTGTTTGAGCTCTGTAATTAAACTTTCTATGAAGTTTGAAGTTAGTCAAATCTCAGTGTCAAGATAATTAAAACCCAAATTATAGCGTTAAGTTGGTCAAATCTCAGTGTTAAGCTAATTACAACCCAAATCATAGCGTTAAGATAGTCAAATCTCAGTGTACAGATAATTGCAACCCAAATTATAGCGTTAAATTAGTCAAATCTCAGTTTTAAGCTAATTACAAACCAAATTATAGCGTTAAGTTAGTCAAATCTCAGTGTTAAGCTTATTACAAACCAAATTATAGCGTTAAGTTATTCAAATCTCAGTGTTAGTTAGTGATGCTTCAAATCTCAGTGTCAAGATAAATACAACCCAAATCATAGCGTTAAGATAGTCAAATCTCAGTGTCAAGATAAATACAACCCAAATCATAGCGTTAAGATAGTCAAACCTCAGTGTCAAGATAATTGCACCCCAAATTATAGCGTTAAGTTGGTCAAATCTCAGTGTTAGTTAGTGATGCTTCAAATCTCAGTGTCAAGATAATTGCACCCCAAATTATAGCGTTAAGTTAGTCAATTCTCAGTGTTAAGCTAATTATAAACCAAATTATAGCGTTAAGTTATTCAAATCTCAGTGTTAATCTAATTACAAACCAAATCATAGAGTTAAGTTAGTCAAATCTCAGTGTCAAGATAAATACAACCCAAATCATAGCGTTAAGGTAGGCTAATCTCAGTGTTAAGCTTATTACAAACCAAATTATAGCGTTAAATTAGTCAAATCTCAGTGTCAAGATAAATACAACCCAAATCATAGCGTTAAGGTAGGCTAATCTCAGTGTTAAGCTTATTACAAACCAAATCATAGCGTTAAGTTAGTCAAATCTCAGTGTTAAGATAATTACAACCCAAATCATAGCGTTTAGTTAGTCAAATCTCAGTGTTAAGCTTATTACAAACCAAATTATAGCGTTAAGATAGTCAAAGCTCAGTGTTAAGATAATTACAAACCAAATTATAGCGTTAAGATAGTCAAATCTCAGTGTCAAGATAAATACAACCCAAATCATAGCGTTAAGTTGGTCAAATCTCAGTGTTAGTTAGTGATGCTTCAAATCTCAGTGTCAAGATAATTAAAACCCAAATTATAGCGTTAAGTTAGTCAAATCTCAGTGTTAAGATAATTACAACCCAAATCATAGCGTTAAGTTAGTCAAATCTCAGTCAATGTTAGTTAGCGAAGCCTCAAATTGCAGTGTTAGGTTAGCGATGCCTCAAATTGCAGTGTTAGGATAGCGATGCCTCAAATTGCAGTGTTAGGATAGCGATGCCTCAAATTGCAGGGTTATCCTATATATATATAACGCCTCAAAATGCTGTGTAAATCAGCAACACCTTAATTACAGTGTTAGTTAGTAGTTAGTCACTCTTCCAATCTCTGGATTACTGAGATTGTATGAAATGTTAGTGGAGTTATGTCCCTTAGTCATGCATTACCCATTAAAACAAATATATTACTTTAGGCAAAGCAAACACTTTAAATGATTTAACAACTTGACAAGGTAGTGCAGTGACCTTACCTCATCCTTTTAACATTTAAATAAAAAATTAAACAGGATTTAAGATCATTTCAGGAGTAATTTCAGGTTTAATTTACATGTTTAATCATCAAATGTTTTACAATCAGATTTAATTTTTTTACACTTACAGTCACGTTTTCTCTAATTTTTTTAAAAAAAATCGAAAATTATCATTTCAAAATTATCTGGTGGTTAAAACCCAATATCAAACCATGGTTTAGACAAAAATACATGGGACTCAACACAAATCATACACCTCTTCAATCAATATTTGCATCCAAATTAAAACCAGCATGCAGCTTTGTACACCAGAAACTTACCATTACTGAGCTATGTAGAGGATAGAAATGAGATGCTTTATATATTGAAGAACCAGGAAACTCCCTATGAAAGTGTGTTTAGACAAGAAATGTAATAAATAAATCTAACGATGTAGTTACATGCATGTATTTGTCAAAATGTTGTATGTTTGTGTAGTCAGGGTATCGGTACAAATAGCTGTATTATTGTAGAACGTTGTTATAAACTTGTATCAGCATTGATATTCACATTGTATACAGAAAACAATTGTTTTTAGATAACAAATATTCAACTTTATTGATACTCTCTCAGAGCTAACATTTTAAGAGCTTTGCATTTCAGATTCTTCTTGGTGTTTTTTTCTACTTGGTACATTATTCTATTACATATATTAATCAGTTTTCCCATATTTTTATAAGTGACAAAATGACACAGGATGTTGAATGTGACCATGTGAAACAAGTTGTTAAGCTAACCTGTTAACTGTGACATAATGACATTAGTCCATAGTGACACTCTAGCGGTTCAATGTGAAGTTGTTGTCAAAATATTGGTTGCCACCTTTTGCATCATTAATTTCTGTGCATCACTTAAATTTGTCAGTTCATCAACAGAATCACATTTACGGAGGAAAGGGTTTTGATTATGCTACATTGACTAATTTTGTGAGTAAATCTGTATAATGAACCTTGTAATAAAATTGAAGTGCTTGGTGTGTCATTCTAAGTTCTAATTAGTATCTGCTTGGTGTGTCATTCTAAGTTCTAATTAGTATCTGCCTGGTGTGTCATTCTAAGTTCTAATTAGTATCTGCCTGGTGAAATTGATAAACTGGAGAGGATGTTAAATGTGCAGACCTATTGCTGGAAGTGAGGATGATTTAACAGTTACTGTAACACTGCTATTAGTCATCACAGGTGGGAGTTACCTTATGAACAGGACAAGTACAGCGTTCCTTGCCAAGAGGTCCTGGACTGCTAGCATCTCCTGGAAAAACAGTAGTGCCATATTTAGATTTAGAATACTAATGCGTAGTTGGTTTGTTTATACTACTGGCACCAGAGTTACAACAGTAACGGTTTAATAAGTATATCCTAACTGTTAACATGGATGGGTTAACAAGACAGTGTCAACCCCACACAAAGACCATGGTGATTATAATTCTCTCACACTTTCAAGAATAGACGGTCTTGGTAGATTAAACACAACAAATGTGTATGTAGAGCACCATTAGTTTGTCTCTGTATCTGGGTTGATGCAGAGAATGTTCACACCAAGTCTTGTAATTACTCCGGTAAACCTGTCCCCACAGGTTGAGGCAGAACATTTTTACAAAAATGATACTGGACTTAAAATGACACCTGATGGTATATATTGCAGAAATTAAAGATAAAATATTACAATCAATCATCCATGTAAGCTATTTCAAACCTAAGAAATCAAATATTTTTGGTAGATCCAAGGTAAATCCTTTCAGGAAATTTAGTTTTGTAAATTTGAATTGACCAGTTTTCTGCTCTTATTATACTGTAGCTATTGGCCATCACCTTTTCCAAATGCACTACATGCATACACTATAATGAGTTCAAAACAATGTTGAGATTCGTCAACACTTGGGAAATTCTGTCATTGGGACATTATTCCTACTGTTATCATGGTTTTGTATTTTTCAGCATCTGTCAGCTATCTAGTCAGATTCCATTTAGTAACAATGCCAACAAAACAGTCATTCTGTCCAGAAACAAGAGGCCCAATGGGCCTGCATCGCTCACCTGGTATTAATCTCACACTTGTAATCTTAAAAGTGGACTAAAATACAGCTACAGGCAGAATATCAGTGTTTGAATCATAAGAGCCTATTAAAAGATTTAAACATATGACGCCTGTGACCTTGAATGTCGAACAAGGACATCAGGTTGAAAGTGGATCAAGGTCATTCATTTGATTAAACTTGGTAGCCCTTCATCCCAGCATGCTACAGGACCAATATCAGTACCCTGGGCGTTTTGGTTATTGAGAAGAAGGCACTTGAAGATTTTAAGACATCTGACCCCAGTGACCTTGATAGTTGGTCAAGGTCAAACATTTTAACAAACTTGGTAGCCCTTCATCCCAGCAGGCTACAGGCCCAATATCAGTACCCTGGGCCTTGTGGTTATTGAGAAGAAGTTGTTTAAAGTAAAAATTTGACGCCAGACAGACGGACGACGGACGACGCACCATAACATAAGCTCACTAGCCCTTCGGGCAGGTGAGCTAAAAATGTTTGGTTAAATCTTAACGTAATACACAATGGTTTCCATATTTTAGTAATTATTACATTTTGATCGACAGTTTACTTTATATTTACCACCTATAACACTACATTTTGATCTACAGTGTACTTTATATTTACCACCTATAACACTACATTTTGAGCTACAGTTTACTTTATATTTACCTCCTATTACACTACATTTCGCAAAACTTGAGCAATATGGACCAATTTAATGTATCAATCATCAAAAATTACTTAAATGTCAAATACAAATGAAAGATGAAATTATTCTTTTTTAAATTATTCAAACAAACTTTGCTCAACAGATATTGTAGGCTAGAATATGCAGTGTACCAGTCCCTACGACAGTTTGTGCTTGTACAGAAGTCTGGTAATCGAAGCTGAAATAAGGTTTGTTAAGTAAATCTGGGTATAGAGCATGCATACATACAGGAATGTCAATAACAGTGAAAGTTTACATAGATATGGGTCTACAAGTAGGAAAGGCAATAGTCTTTGACGCCTAGTAAAGTAGGGTACTATAATCATACACCAGTTATTGACTGTGATTGTATAACTTGTCAATGAGTCGAATATACCAGGTAGTTGGAACTGTTAGTATGACAGGTAAAGTAACTACAGGACTACAGAATACAGTTTCTTGTATTAATGTGTATAAGGTGCAAAGCATCTCTCACCTGGTTCAACTGAATAAGAAACATTTAAAAATTATACTTTGCAATATTTCAAACTAGCAAGCATTGTAAGTACTCACATTAGACAATCAGATCATGCACTTGGTTAAGGCAGTTTATAAGTATACAGAATTTTGAATGGTAGCCAGTGTAGATAAATAATTGTCATGGATATCAGGCATTTTATGAAACCATTTTTCATTAACAAGCAATAGAACAGAATCTGTAGAATAACTTAAGTTTGGAAACTATTAAAATGTTTCTTAAAATTTCACTCTGTTTTCTTAAAATCTGCCATTGACAGTACTGTAAAAATTTACTGTGAAATGAGGTGTGCTAACCTAACTCTGTCACAGTAACAATTCACCGCGATCACAGCGCCCAATCATCGTAAAACCTTACCGAGATCACAGCGCCCAATGGGCGTAAAACCTTACCGAGAGCACAGCGCCCAATCGTCATAAAAGCTTACCGAGATCACAGCGCCCAATCGTCATAAAACCTTACCGATATCACAGGGCCCAATCGTCGTAAAACCTTACCTTGTAGGAAGTCTATAAACCGTTCCAGGTCTGTGATCTGTGTCTTAAGCTGATCCACAAGCTTCTCTTTCACTTTGGCTGGATTTACGATCTACAGGGAGAGTGAAAACAGAGGCATTATACACTAGATTAATGAGAATCTAGCTAATACTATAAAAGTAAACTGTGTGTGACGTGTGACAGGTCTAGGTTGGCTATTCCAATAGAAGTGGTAAAATAGATCGCTGGACTATTCTTGAATTTGACCCATTTTGCATCAACTTTTCCAGGTAAACCTTTATATCCCTGAAATCTGTACCAGGTAAACCTTTATATCCCTGAAATCTGTACCAGGTACGTAAACCTTTATCCCTAAAATCTGTATCTGATGGTTGGCTTTGTCAATGGTAAACTTTACATAATGTAAAGATTATGTACTCTAAAATACACTGATGATTATTTTGACATTTGTTATTAAAGGAACATTGAAAAATAAAATATACTACAATGTCAACATATAAGACAAACTATATCACAGTGTCAACACACAAAGACAAAATATATCACAGTGTCAACACACAAGGACAAAATATATCACAGTGTCAACACACAAGGATAAAATATATCAGTGTCAACACACACAGGAACATATATCACTGTCAACACACAAGGACAAAATATATCACAGTGTCAACACACAAGGACAAAATATATCACAGTGTCAACACACAACGACAAAATATATCAGTGTCAACACACAAGGACAAAATATATCACAGTACCACAGTGTCAACACACAAGGACAAAATATATCACAGTGTCAACACACAACGATAAAATATATCACAGGGTCAACACACACAAGGACAAAATATATCACAGTGACAACACACACAAGGACAAAATATATCCCAGTGTCAACACACACAAGGACAAAACATATCACAGTGTCAACACACAAGGATAAAATATATTACAGTGTCAACACACAAGGACAACATATATCACAGTGTCAACACACAAGGACGAAATATATCAGTGTCAACACACACAGGAACATATATCACAGTCCCACAGTGCCATGCCACAAGGGCAAAATATATCACAGTGTCAACGCACACAAGGACAAAATATATCACAATGTAAACACACACAAGGACAAAATATATCACAGTGACAACACACACAAGGACAAAATATATCACTGTGTCAACACACAAGGACAAAATATATTACAGTGTTAACACACAAGGACAAAATGTACCACAGAGTCAACACACAAGGATAAAATATATTACAGTGTCAACACACAAGGACAAAATGTACCACAGTGTCAACACACAAGGATAAAATATATCAGTGTCAACACACACAGGAACATATATCACTGTCAACACACAAGGACAAAATATACCACACATACACCAACATAAACAACAGGGGTCTACTTATACCTGTCCTACAGCACGATCCACTACCAGTTTTAAATCTTCCATACTGAAACAAAAAGTATTTCCAACATTTTAAACACAAGTTACCCGCAGAACATGTCTGACAAAATACTTCTTTCTACATTGGGAGCTAATGATCTTATATATTATCATCATCAAACATAATCACTTTTTGGACAAATTACATTCAAGAATTTATATCCAATATATTGTTTATCTTATAAAATACACTCAGAACTTACTATTTCATCTTTTCTATTCTGTCAGACACTGAATGACGAGCCTAAACTTTCATAGTGCTACTGAATTCACTACCTAAACTTTCACAGTGCTACTGAATTCACTACCTAAACTTTCCTTGTTAATTTCATCTCCTGCTCATGAAATATAAATGACTTTTCAGCTGTTTGAAGATTTTGTTTGTTTGTCTCAGACATTTAAAAAATATAGTGACTTCAGAATAACACAAATGATTCAATACTATGTTATATGCTATATAATTTATGTTTTAAATGTCTCACAAATTCCTCACAAATACAGAGATAAAATCACTATTTTTGACCAAATCTCACTAAAAATAATCACTGATCTCACTATTTTGCACCGGAAAGTTATGGCATGTATGGTGATGAGTGCATTCTGACACACCCAGGATCAAACACTCTCAATCTGGGTTTTCATCAGAAAAGAATGTTTGTTGTCGGCTGTGGATGGACATGATGACCATTACCTAAGTTTTTGATAGTTATCGAGATCCAAGTCCAGCTTGTTTCTCAGCTCATCAATCACCACTTTCTGTTTCTCCATCATCTTATTTGTTGGTATTTCTGCTTCACCTGTCTGTGATGCAAAAACAGATGACATTATATATAGATTGCAGGAAATCCTGAAAGAAAATTTTAGTAATCAAATTACAGGGTTTAGCATAAACACAGGAAGTATAAAGACACATGTATCCAAAAGAATTGAAATGAAATTAATATATATTTATAACATGTTAAGACTAAAAACAAAAACAAAAGATAGGATAATGAACAGAAAATGTTCTCACTTCATATGCATAGGTCTCCAGGTCTTCTAACTGAGTTTTTAGCTGTTTAATCAGTTCTTGTTGTTTTTCTCTCTGTTCTGATATCTTCATCTCATGCTCTCTGTCACTCTACAAGGAAATCATAAAACTTCAGAAACTAGAAAATATATAGTGTAGAAACATAATTACATTTACATGTTTATAACCCATACTAACTAGCCGGCAAAGAGCCACCCCCGCCACCTACAACAGATATACTATTGGTGACATCACTGGACTGGTGACATCGCTGGACTGGTGACATCACTGGACTGGTGACATCGCTGGACTGGTGACATCACTGGACTGGTGATGGACTGGTGACATCACTGGACTGGTGACATCACTGGACTGGTGACATCACTGGACTGGTGACATAGATCAGTGGAGGAACCACATTCTCAAAACATTATTATACTTTCTCTCCAAGTGTTATACATTTTTCTATTTATATAACAGACTATTCCCTGAATGTAATATATTTGAAAATGTGACCTTGTGTTTATTTTTGCAAAAATATGGCACTTATAGTGTATACTTAATATAAAGTTATTCTATAATTTGTTATATTTAAAACTGTACATCAGAACACTGTTTAACAAGGAGATACCTATGAAATATATCATGGTCCCTCGAGGCAGTTACAAAAATGGCTACCAGTGCTTTTAAGAAACATGTACATGTACTATGCTGAAAAACTGACAAAGGAACATGGTACTTACAGAAGTTCATGCCGAATTACAATATCAAGCAATCTAAATAACATACCATACATGAAAAAAGGAAAACATGGTATCAAATAAAACTAAATGGCATTAAATGAAATTCTCTGAAGTAAGTGGAATATTGTTGTAAAATGTGATAGCATTAATGATCATTTAGGACCCTTGTCCCACTGCACAGTGGTTATCCTATATATACAGTAACCTCCCCTTAACTTCAGTGTGGATATAACCGTTGCACAGTTCGGCCAGGACCCTTCCCTAGGCCAGGTAGCTCGATCAGTTAGAGTAATAGTTTAACAATCTTCAGTGTGGATATAACCGTAGCACAGTTCGGCCAGGAACCTTCCCCAGGCCAGGTAGCTCGATTAGTTAGAGTAATAGTTTAACAATATTCAGTGTGGATATAACCGTAGCACAGTTCGGCCAGGAACCTTCCCCAGGCCAGGTAGCTCGATTAGTTAGAGTAATAGTTTACCAATCTTCAGTGTGGATATAACCGTAGCACAGTTCGGCCAGGACCCTTCCCTAGACCAGGTAGCTCGATCAGTTAGAGTAATAGTTTAACAATCTTCAGTGTGGTTATAACCGTAGCACAGTTCGGCCAGGACCCTTCCCTAGGCCAGGTAGCTCGACTAGTTAGAGTAATAGTTTAACAATCTGAAGTCCAGGGTTCAAATACCTGTCTGGCCCCGCAGAATATTTACATTAAGAACACTTTCATCAATTATATTTTGTTCATTTTATCTTTTAGTCCCACAATGTATGGTTTTCTTTTCAGAAATGGCTTATCAAAGCTGCAGTCAAGCCGGTGAAGACAGTTTCCAATACTTATTTACAGTTTTTGGCAGTGGTACAGGGATCCTTAATGACATATAGATATATTATTTAGTAATGCTCATTTAATGATAAAAAGAAGATTATGAACTGAACCATTAAATTTTCATGAAGACTTTGAGCTTCCTGTACGGCCGTTCCCCTGACATCTGGTATTCCTTTGAAGGCAAACTGCTCCAGCTCTTTCAGAAGAACCTTCAAACAGAAAAGATGATTTTTTTAAGTCCTGGAAAAGGCAGTATGTACACATGCTTCAATATTATGACACTGTGCAGTGTGCATTGTGGTATAAATAGTGTAAAACTTTAATCCCTTTATTGTACATCAGGAAACTATCACCCGTCCAACTTTTGTCCTAGCCGGTAAAATCTACATTCATCCGCTGTTGATTTTGCCCTTCACATCTGATTACATATTTTGATTACTAATATTCACTGTAAAATTTAATTTGTCCTCATTGCAGAGGGTGAACAAAGGCCAAAGCTTAATTGGGACAAAAATATCCTGGTATACAGTAGTGATTGGATGCCAGATAAATTCATATGTTACGAATGATAGTGTACATTGTCAGATACTGAAGTTTGCTTTTATGTCATTACAGGATCATTGTTAACCAAACATATGTTTATAGGTAATGTATGATTGACAATGACAAATTAGATACCAAGTACATGGTATAAGAAAGATAAACACATATGTATTTTGGATTACTTAAAGTCAAAGCACTATTGTACCAGTGTTTGATAATGACAATACTGGTACATTGCACATCTGGTTTTCACCTGCTGGAATGGCTATATAGTTGTTGTTTTTTATATTTGTCTGACAAATGAGTACAAACAGATTCTAGTACATATAGCCCTTATAACTGAAGCATTTGAGAACAAAGTGTTTGTATTCTGAAATGGCCTGCATGTTTACCTCCTTGTCTTCAGCATCTGCACTGACAATCTGCTTCAGTCGGAATTGAACCTGAGCGAAATGAGTTGTCAGGGCAAGTAGGGAAGAGTTTAACTGTTCCTGTTCTTCTTCTAGCTTCTCCAATTGTTCTATGTGACTGTAAAAAAAATATGTTTGTTGCAGCAATCCGAGAACAAAAAAGGTTTTGATGATATTGTTTCTTTTGACCTAATTCTGTTAGCAACCTTTAACTTACCAATTTAATCATGTTTTAGGTAAAACTATTTGCAAATTAGAACTGAAATTATATGTCCAAGGGAATTTAATGCAAATTATTTTTCTGAAACTAATTTTGTCTATCAAAACTTAGCATGGCCTTGGAGTTTTGAGCTCAAAAGTAATCCCAGACATCCTATGCCCATTGATTTATTGTTCTACACTTAAAGCAATAAAACCTCATTTTCTATACTGATGTAAGGTGGACTGAACATTTACCATCCACAAGTGATTTCACCATAGTAAATTAAAAATCCTATAATATGACCTACTCTGCCTCTGCCGCATCCCCAGGACTAGTAGTAAATTAACTTAACCCAATCCTATAACATGACCTACTCTGCCTCTGCTGCAGCCCCAGGCACAGGACTAGTATTAAATTAACTTAACCTAATCCTATAACATGACCTACTCGGCCTCTGCTGCAGCCCCAGGCACAGGACTAGTATTAAATTAACTTAACCTAATCCTATAACATGACCTACTCTGTTTCTGCTGCAGCCCCAGGCACAGGACTAGTAGTAAATTAACGCCGTAAATTAACTTAACCTAATCCTATAACATGACCTACTCTGCTTCTGCTGCAGCCCCCGGCACAGGACTAGTAGCAGCAGCTCCAAGTGGGGCCCAGCGCTCCGCTGGTCGGTCGTCCGTCTGTTCATCAAAACTGTCATAGTTGTATTCCACACTGTCGTCTAAATCATTAGTTACTGATGTTTCATCCATCATCATGAATACTGTAAAAATAAAAACAAATACAATAATGTAAAATTGATGTTATAATGGACCAGGACTTTCAGTTGACCCTTGAGATTTAGCAATTTCATAACTTACAAGTTACTTTAAATTACTTTAAATTCCTTAAATTTAGAGGGTCACAATTGCAACATGTACACATATCAAATAGACAGGCGTCATAGGCAGGTGTTTCAAAATCATACCTGGCACTCTCATAGATTTACTTTAGTCCTGATATACAAAAACATTAGAAGAAAAACTAGTAAGCATAACCAAGTGATTAACATCATTAACTCAACAGAACGATATAGACTGAATATTGAAAATTATTACTAATTATTATCCTAAAGTTTGTACAGTTAAGTGTACTCTTCACAGCAGTTAAGATAAATATTGAATTTATATAAATTGTAAAGAATACAGCTGCAACACACTGTTATTTGCTCTGGTATTTGTAGCCTTCTTTTCAGACAAGTCCTAAGCATCATTTTCAAAATGTTGATGTATCCCCTTACTAAGAGATACAGTGGGTTCTCAAAATGTGGATGAGTCTCATAGGACATGCACGAGCTGAGGGCTCAAGTATCTGTGCCCGAAAATCACTGTAATATATTTGTCAAATGTATGCTTTTTATGGTAACAATATAAGTTTTACCGTAATATACATGTACATTATCAAAAGTTTCTAAATCTTTGGATATTATGATTTTCAGGATGAGATTCATCAGTGTTGTATGAATATATATATTATAAATACCAAGTTTGAACACAAACAGTATTTCGAAACTTAATTTGCAAGCTTTCAAAAACATGTTTCCTTTGTCAAATGTACAAATGACCAGTAAGTACTAATACAGTAGATTTCTCTTAATATCACTTCCCATTTGTCAGAGAAAAACATGATATTAACAGAAACATGAACAGAATACATATTAAGTACTAATACATGTATTAATATCCAACCACAGGGATTTGTTCCAATGTCTGAAATACACATGCTATACCGTTTCATAAATGTCTGTGGGCATGTTCGTATCTATTTGTGCACTTGACTGGACACTGGACGATTGACCAATCGACAGGTGACCTCGCTGCACAGACATTTCACACAAATTTCCTGCCACCACTAGCACCGTATAGAAGGTCCTGGGGCTCTAGGCCTTGGGTCTGCATTATTTACTGACGTTCTGCGATCGACGTCGGTATCATTATACAAAGCTGTATTTATCTAATTCTGGAAAGAGCTGTTTGCGGTATGTTTTACTATAACTATATTTAATTAGCGATAGTTATATTTATATGTAAAACATATCGCAGTCAATATATTCTTTTCTATTCCGTTTATTATATATCGGTAAATACATTCCGATGCAAGTTGTATGAAAGGTAATTTTATATGTATTTTCTTGTAGGTTTTCTTTGTATGTCCTCATCGTGAACCACAAATTTAATGAAAGATCATCAAGTTCATATTGAGTTTGACTTGTGTTTCCAATATGTTTATATGCAGGTCTAGTACACTCTGTCGATTGAGCTATATAGCTATAAAGACCTATATAGCTATATACACCTATAAATAATAGCTGTATTGAACTATATTTTCTCAGATTTCAATTTTCATTAAATTAAAGCAAAGTCGCATAAAACAATAAGTTTTATGGTAATGTTGACTACAAAAAGCATACAGTTAGATGTTGGGTTTTTTTCATAATTGTAAAATTTCCAAATTTTTTACATCATTATTTTTTTAAAAGAATCCTTTTATTAATAGCTCAAAAGACCTATTTCCGATAAGTCAATAGAGCTAATATAGCTCAATCGGCAGAGTGTGTTGGACTTGAGGCTGATCTGTTTAATAGCCATAAGTTTTCAATTATTGTTTGTGTTCAAAAAAAACTTAGCATTTATTATTATGATTTTATTTAAAAATGTCATATTTACAAAAAGGTTGACAAAATTATTGTAGAAAATTGTGGAGAATAAACAATTGTATTGTTGAGATACGCTCATCTGGTCCGGATCCGGCGTACAAGATTTACCGGTGACCGACGCTAAATTATGTATGGAGTTTTATATCATGCTGTTTATTGATAATGTCATTTGAACGTTGCTTGCATTACATATCGGTATAATTGACAGTGTTCCTTTCTTTATTAACGATCAACGATGAAATAGAGCCATTCAAATAGTACCTCCAGTCGGGAAAATGTCGGTCTTTAGTCGATCAGCAGGTCAGCTGTCATTTGCGTGGGTGGCACTGCCACTGATCAACATATGCGATTTGTATACTCACTTGCAATACAATTAAACGTAAAATCTGTGTACTCTTCTTCAAAAATCCTATGTAAGTCAGTGAATATACCAGAGGTTTAACCTCTAATAGACCCAGACCGGCTGGGTTGACATCACTGACTTGGCTTGAGTTAGGTAGTCTTCAGATTTGCCAACAAACCACATTATCCGGGGATTTTGGTAAAGTAAAGCTAGAAGCACGATGCAGCAAGTTTCGTACTATATATTTTTGCACTTAAAATCTATTTTCTTTTGGATATGTTTTATTTTTGTTAAGCTTTTTAAGAAATTTAATTTTAAAAGTATCTGTTTTCAACTCATTTGTGTCTATTTTTTTCTCGAATGGATTTTATTTACTAATTTACAGAGTTACCTCCCTTGTGTATATAAATCTTAAGGACCCCAATACTATGAATACGTCTACAAAAAAAATGAAACTATGTTTTGGATTTTTTATGTCATGACTGTTACTAATAAATCATAAATGTAAAGAAAACGATGCATTTGCGGATGTTCTGTGAAAAAAAACTAGCAAGAATTCCGGCGGTTCATGGTATTTGGCCTGTTCCAAATTAATTCAAATGAATGACCCTGACCTACTTTCATTCAAGGCCACAAAAGTCAAATGTGCAGAAACGTTTTATCATTTTTTATATAATAATCAAGAGCCTGGTTAGGACTAACCTAGACCCACCGAACGTGACTGTATAGCCAGCTGTTATTCATTGATGTCGGGCAACATATACATCTCACATACGCCGCGTATATCAGTGTGGATAGCAAGTTAAACACTAACAGACAAACTATTAATTCCATCAAGAAAATATATTTGAACAATCTTTTTCCTTTGAAAAACTTCATAACCCTTCGCTCCATCATATGATTGACCGAATACAATGACCGGACGCCTCTTGATTATCCAGAAGAAATTATTTAAATATGTTACTAGTATAACACAGTTCATCTCTTTGATCTTGAAAGTGGATAAAGGTCATTTAAACACAATTTATAGTTACTTATCACAGCATGCTACTGGTCAAATACCTTGACCATACGTCTCTTGGCTATTCAGAATAAAACGTTAATTAAAAGGTATCTAGCTCTCTGACCTGAAAAGTAGATCAAGATCATTAATTGGAATATATTTAATAGCACTTCAATCCAGCATGCTCCAAGTCATGACATATATCATGATCCAAGGCACCTTAATGTCATTCATCAAATTGAGAGCCCTTACTCAGCATGTTACAGGCAAAATATCACGTCTCTTGGATATTCAGAAACACTTAAAAAGTTCAACACATTTGACCGATATGTCCTTGAAAGTTATACGTCCCTGGTTTAAACTGTTTTTATTCAATATTCAAAGTTAAACATGTTACATACATATATATAATTACACAGGGAATGGAAAACAAGCTCAGAGCTTATTTTAATTCCTTTCCCAAGTATATATTACAGGCAAATAATTCTTCGAGACTGTTGACACCTTAATTACCATAGTAATTTGAATAAGATAAAGTTGAACTTATAACATACATGTATATTTACAGGTGGTGAAAATTGAAATTGAAACATATTACATTTGATGTATAACGCATTAGATTAAAAATCAATTATCAGTGCTTTACGGTATGTTNGGGGGGGGGGTGCACGCACACTTGCACTCACACACCCATGGATGGACGGACGGACCATGAAGGACGGACGATGGCAGTTCGAATACGTACGCATGTACACGCTCAATCACTCATACTCACATATGTACTTATGATATTCATATTTCTCGATATAATGCATTTAGAATATAAATACAATACATGTAATAAGCACTTTCGATTACAATATACAATATACAATATATAGTTGATGTAGAAACTATTTATAATAATAACTACAATAATAAGGTCGTACATGAACATGTGTACAAATTAGGATGACATGTAACTAAACCGTTTACCGAGTTGATAAAATTCTGAACTGACAAAAAGATGTCTTTGTCCTTCTGTACTTCCCCACAGTAGAGTATTTTCAGTAAGGTTAATGTTTTAGCTATTTATAGTATTTTGTCTTATTCTAGTGTAACTATTACATATGAGTAAAAATAATGGGCTTACCTCTAAATTTCTTATAGATAGGTGTTGTTTCAAATTATTACAATCAGTGCCTTATGCATCTTGGTTAAAAAAAAACGTCCTTTTAAGAAAATCCACTTGCACCTAACAGACAGACGACTGAAGTTCTGTGTGGCACACACTTTTGAGAAGTTGAGGTGAAAATTATGCAGCGATGAAGACTGAAAGATAAAAAAAGACCAGTGTAAAAGCTACCGAGAGAGTAATATTGAAGAATAGGCGAGAACGCAGTCAAGAGACTTAAGTGGACCAGTATTGGTCGCATTTTTGAAGGCCCTTGGCAAAAGCGTGGTTCGTCAATGACCCTCAAAGTAGGCATAGTTCAAATTTAATTAAACAAAGTTGAAAGTAAGCAAGTAACACCACAAGCTTAAAATAAAAATATAATCCAGTGTTATTTTAAAAGTGGACCAAGCTTATCTATGTAAACAAACGTAATACCGTAGTACGTCGTCCTGGCATTCTTTTTGTTAAATATGATCACTCTTGACATATTGGGTTATGTTTGAAAGTTTAAAGACATCTAACCATGTAAACTTTACAGTGGACCAAGATCACACATTTAAACAGACTTAACAACATTTATAATTATATCACCACCCTATAGCCATCTCTGTTATTTTGCAGTATTTGTTGAAGTATCTTAACACTTTCAACCCATGTGACCTTGAAAGTGGGTCTAGTTTTTAGTTTAAACATATTTTATTGCCAAGCAAATGGATTGGGCACAATTAGTTATCTAACTTATATTAAGCCCTTTCCCAGGAAATTACAAGCATATATTTACAATAGTAAAACAAGATGGCAGAATTAATATACATATATACACTATTTCATTTTTAAATGCTTTAATTTATAAATTGAAATTATAAGAGAGAAACAGAGAGAGAAAAGGGGGGGGGGGAGAGGGGGATAATAGTCTGTAATCATAATACATACTGTATGACATATAGTATCTGCCTCTTAGAGAGAATGGATATTATGGTTCAATTGAAAGAGAGGGAGAGAAAGGACANCAAGGGGGAGGGGGGTACTAGAATATGTTAGAGTCACGACTGTATTGCTGAGTATGCATGAATATCGTTATGTTTTCCTGTTCCGAAAGAGATGTATCTCCAAATAAAAGTAGATTTAAATTAAGGGGCATATATTCATTCAGTTCACGATAAAGCTTAATTCTTTGTTCGTTGTATTTATCACAGGTAAAAAAGAAATATTGTGTGTCTTCAATAGGGAAACCACATATACAACGTTGGTAATCAATAAGGTTAACACGAAACAGGTCACTTTTCAAAGTACTAGAACGGTTTCTTAATTTTGTATGCAAAATATTATTTTTATTATCACCATAATAAAAGGGATTTGGTACAAGAGGCAAGTTAACGTCTTGAATGGCGTTTCTAAATGATGAGAACGTGGCACTACGTCGTATACTAGTAGGTAACTGGTTCCACAGTCTAACAGTAGAAGGAAAAAAGGATATGTTAGATAATTCAAGTCTGTTGTGAGGTAGGTTGTAGTTGTCAACGTTTCGAAGATTATAGTGAGAGTTATCGATAAGGGAATGGAATAGAGTGTTGAGATAGTTAGGAGCTATATTATTATGGATTTAAAAATATAATTGAAGTTTTCGACGGGATCTCCGATGGGCTAGAGAATCCCATCCAGTTTCATTGTATATAGATTGTCTACTAGTAAACGACGGTAAACCAGTGAAAATACGTCCAGCTTCAAGTCGTAGTTTTTCTAATTTGTCTGAATCATTAATAGAACAACCATCCCAAAGTTCACAACAATATTCTAGAATAGGAAGTATAAATGTTCTATATATTTTATTCAGTGTACGTCGGTTCAGGGTATATTTCAATTTACGGAGGACACTTAATTGTTTAACTACTTTTTTACATATATTGTCAAGGATTTCAAATATTACCTTTTATTTTCCCTATTGAGACCAGTACTGAAGGAGAAGGATCTCAAATATTACCTTTTATTTCCCCTATTAAGACCAGTACTGAAGGAGAAGGGTTTCAAATATTACCTTTATTTTA